AGAGCTGTGCACATTAACAATGGCTGCGCACAAAACTAACACATAAAAACCATGAAAACATTCAGAGAAAAGCTTCAATCCAGTCACAGGGAGTGTTGGGTAGGGTCAGCAGCCTTGTACACTTCCCCCTGTAAATTCAGTTCCATGTTATTTTAACAACAGATGACAGTTTAATATGATGTTACATTTACAAGGTTTTTATGCTATTTCAAACGCTTATGGAATCACTTACAATGGATGCCGCTCCTTGATGTTTAAAGTAGTTTTAAAGTCTATTTTTATTTGCATATATCCAGGACCGGATTTACTCTCCCTGCTGCCCCAAGGCCAGTTTCCGCAATGCACCCCCCTCTCAGCTTTTTTTTATTACTTTCTTACTTTTTTTAATTTTTTATTTATCTTATCATCTTTTACTTTTTTTTTCTTTTTTATAATTTCTTTATCTTATTATTTTTTTTATTTATAATTATTTTCTGATTTTTTTATATATAACCCTACCGCACTGCTCACCGCTCTCCATCCTGAACGCGTCAGCGAGGAGAGGACAGAGCCGGGAAGACGCAGCCAGCAAAGGGGAGGTGAGGGGGGGCGGCGGGGGAGGACAGACAGCCTGCAGTCTGATTACAAGTGATCTTGGCGACATTGCCAAGATCACTTGTAAAGAAACAAGTGGTTTCCCCCGTTCTACATTTAGCCCTGCTTATGCAAAGCAGGGCTAAATGTAGAAAACAAATTACCACCCGGCGCCCGGAACTCCATGTTCCGGGCGTCGGGAGGCTTCAAACCTGTGCCACCCCTCTGCTCAGTGCCGCCCCGAGGCCGGGCCTCGGTGGCCATGTCGGGAATCCGGCCCTGCATATATCTACTGCTAGAAAGCCCCAACATAAAAAAAAATGTTGGCAAATACCAACTAACTTACCTGTGCCAGCACCTCTCGCTCCCGGCTGCAGAAGTCCCGGGTCCCGAACACTGTGAACGAGGACGTTTGGGCGGGCGCAGGAGGCTGACAGTAAACTGAATGGACACAGGAGGGAGCCCACACGCCCAGCAGACTCCATGGGATGGGACATGAGGAGTGTGCGCTGGATCAGAGACCAGCACCAGCACCAACCTCTATAGATTGAACTCGATGGACATGTGTCTTCTTTCAACCTGACTAACTATGTAACCAGCGCTGGAGGGACTGAGGAAAATGAGTGGAAGGAAGAAGCTGTTCGGATCAAGAGGCATCACCTAAGGTAAGTGCTTACAGCAGCATTGAGGGGGGGGGGGGGGGGTCTG